CCTCCATTGTAACTTGAGCCCATTGCTCCTTGTTCTGCCGTTGGTCACCACTGAGAACAGCCTCTTGCCATCCCGTTTGAAACCTCCATTCAGGTAGTTGCAGGCTGCTCTCAAATCCCCCCTCACTCTTCTCTTCTGTAGACTAAACAGACCCAGCTCCCTCAGCCTCTCTTGGTTAGTCATGTGTGCCGGCCCCCTAATTATTTTGGTTGCCCTCTGCTGGACTCTCTCCAGTGTGTTCACATCCTCCCCGTAGTGGAGGGCCCAGAACTGGACACAATACTCCAGATGTGGCCTCACCAGAGCCGAGTAAGGAGAACAATCACTTGACTAGATCTACTGGAAATGCTTCTTCTAATCCACCCTAATATGCCATTCGCCTTCTTGGCTACATGTGCACCCTGTGGACTCCTATCCAGCTGCTCATCCACTGGAATCCCCAGGTCCTTTTCTGCTGAACTGCTGCTTAGCCAGTCGGTCCCCAGCCTGTACCAATGCTTGGGATTCTTCCATCCCAAGTGCAGGACTCTACACTTGTCCTTGTTGTACTGCATCAGATTTCTTTTGGCTCAATCCTCCCTTTTGTCTCGGTCACTCTGGACCCTGTCCCTGCCCTCCAGCATATCTACCTCTCCCCTTAGCTTAATGTCATCCGCAAACTTGCTGAGGGTGAAACCCACCCCCGCATCCAGGTCATTAATAAAGATGTTGAACAAAACTTGCCACAGAAGTGACCCTTGGGGCACTTCACTTGATAGAGATCATCAAACAGACATTGAGCTGTCCATCACTACCCATTGAGCCTGATGATCTTGCCAGCTTTCTCTTCAAGGCCCTTAGTTTCCCCAGGACCTGCTATGGCAAATTTCCCCTGGATGATATTGCATAAAGGCCAATTGTGTGCTAATACACATAGGCTACATCTACACTGGCATGATTTTCCGGAAATGCTTTTAACAGAAAAGTTTTCCGTTAAAAGCATTTTCGGAAAAGAGCGTCTAGATTGGCATGGACACTTTTCCGCAAAAGCACTTTTTGCGGAAAAGCGTCCATGCCAATCTAGACGCACTTTTGTGCAAAAAAGCCCCAATGGCCATTTTCGCGATCGGGGCTTTTTTGCGCAAAACAGTCCTGGGCTTTCTACACTGGCCCTCTTGCACAAATGATTTGCGCAAGAGGGCTTTTGCCCGAACGGGAGCAGCACAGTATTTCCGCAAGAACACTGACAATCTTACATGAGATCATCAGTGTTCTTGCGGAAATTCAAGCGGCCAGTGTAGACAGCTGGCAAGTTTTTCCGCAAAAGCAGATGATTTTGCGGACAAACTTGCCAGTCTAGACACAGCCATAGACTGACACTTCTTTCTCTTCCATCTCAGGATTCTGGCTCTTAACTGGGGTCTGGGGACTGGAACCATTACCTGACTGGTATCTCCTGGAAACTTTGGACATGAAAGGGCTTCTCACCAAGACAGTATGGTGAATATATAATTTCTCATTGCTTCATTCAAGCAGGCACCTGAACTGATAGGCCTGAAATTTAAAAACAAAAAACAAAACAAAAAAAATCCAACCCAACTCAGTTGAAAACAAAGACAACGTGGGACATTTCACTCCTAAAACGGACGTTTGGGAAACTTGCAAGCAACTGGACTAGAGCTGTTCTCCTGGAAAAAGTCAGAAAACTTTTAACTAAAGGTGGTGGCACCAGCACTCTCTTTGTGAATCCCATTCAGCTAAGCTCTTCACTCCACTCTACATTTCATCCAGTTACCCCTGTCGCAGGCCCATGATATCCATGTCACTCGAGCCTGGTTCACACCGGGGTTTTACACTGTAGAATCACAAAGCCACAAATTGAGAAGGGTTTAATATGATGATTTTTACAGAAACCATATTAGGAACATCAGAGCAGCCAGACTGGGTCAGACCAATGGTCCATCCAGCCCAGTCCTGTCGGCCAACAGTGGCCAATACCAGGTGCCCCAGAGGGAGTGAACCGAACAGGGAATCATCAAATGATCCCTCCCCTGTCACCCGTTTCCAGACACATTGTTGATCAGCAATAACGACATCCCTAGACTTTTTAAAAAAATCCCATACCAGCCGTTCCATTGTCTCCTAGCCCTGAAAATCATTTTTATTCTGAACTTTCCCTTGTTTTTTAATAATTTATGCTTAACAGAGACTGTCCTGCATTGGCCTCCTTTCTGTGGGGGTGAGGTCTCTGTTGCTTGATGCCTGATGGCTGATTTCTGGCTCTGAATGAGATGTCTGGTTGGTCGGTCAGTTCATAACTCTGGAGCTTGTAACTCTAAGGTTCTACTGCGGATGCTGCTTATCACAGCTAATGGATGGGGACGTGTTTCATCACGGGAGGGGATCTGAGTACTACATAATGGCTTCTTTCCAAACACAGAGCAAAACAATTTCTTGAACATATTTACTTTTTCTCCAATGTGGACAAGTTTCCTTTCACTCTCTGGAAATTGGTCAAAATATTCCTAAATTATCCTTCCTTCCAGCTACATTTAATAACATCCTTTTCTGATCCTTAACACTACCAAGGCTTTGCCCTGCTACCTATAATATCTCTTACCATCTTTCAAAACGGTTGAATTGTTTGCATCTATTTCTATTTTCTCCATTGTGTTATATGGTGCATTTTCTCCCTTAAGTGCTGCCTTCACTTGACCACGATGCAAGGTTTTCAGACAAAATTTCTACCTTCTTGACCATGGAATCATAATTTCTAGCTATATAATAAGCAATTGTTCACAAAATTCCTATTTTCATTCCCATGTTTCTGTCTAACTTTTCCTCCCAATCAGTTTTCCTGATGATTTGACACAGCTTTGACAAATTAGCACTTTTCTGCAATTAGTCACTATAGATATCATTGATTTGCAACTCTTCGCAGTTTCTCCCTTTGAATGTAAGGTAATGAGTTCCGTTTTCTAGTTTCTTCTTCTCTATCTGCCCAGATGTCTTAGTCTGGCTGAATATGACAACTCTATTGTCTCAGAGACTCCCCAGAATTCCCTTTACAGAGATTAGGTGAGCACATTAAGTGCACAGGCATGATAGTTATTGTTCCACCTCTTTCCTTGGGCAGCCGAACATGGCCTTTGTCTTGGCTGTGCCGTGAATGAGCTGTTATTTCCATGGAGTTAGACTCATAGACTTTAAGGTCAGAAGGGACCATTATGATCATCTAGTCTGACCCCCTGCACAGTGCAGGCCACAGAATCTCGCCCACCCCTCTTAGAATAATCCTCTCACCTATATCTCAGATATTGAAGCCTTCAAATACTTTGGAGACCCCAAGATGCAGAGAATCCTCCAGCTGTGATCTGTACCCCATGCTACAGAGGAAGGCGAAAAACCTCCAGGGCCTCTGCCAATCTACCCTGGAGGAAAATTCCTTCCTGACCCCAAATATGGCGATCAGCTAAACCCTGAGCATGTGTTGCTATCACTTATGGCCCGGTCTTTTCCCTGGAGTATATTTCCTACTGGTGCCTATTAAAGTTTGCACAACATAAAGTATAGAAATTATTGCTGCATGGAGCATCATCAAACATGGAATTAATAGAGTCTGTTGTTCATAATTCATGTCTCTGCATAGTGTAATTTTTCAGAGTGGGAAGAAAGTACAATCTCCTTCACCCGGAGCAGCCTCCTGTACTGTATGTGGTGTCTCATATTCACATTGTGTCTCCATCCAGGCAATTAAACTGTGACATCGCGCTAGACCCTGGACACGTCCAGAAAGTCTGCAGAACATCTGCTTCAAGTAAGAGACGGTATTTTGCTGCAGAGTTGAATCACTTCACCCCCACTCCATGTCAGACTCCAACACAACTGCCTTCACCAACCCCTCCACCTTCATCCTGCTGGGCATTGATCTCCATCCCATTCTGCATCATGTATGCCATGTCCATCTTGGGGAACTTCACCATCTTATTTATTGTGAAGAAGGAGCCCAGTCTCCATGAGCCCATGTACTATTTCCTCTGCATGCTGGCCGTCACCGACCTGGTGCTGTCCACATCTGCCCTCCCCAAAATGTTGAGCATCTTCTGGTTCAATTCCAGGGAGATCGATTTCAGTGCCTGCCTCACTCAGATGTTCTTAATTCACTGCTTCACTGAGATCGCATCGGGGATCTTTTCGGCTATGGCGTTTGATCGCTACGTGGCCATCTGCCACCCCCTGAGACATTCCACCATCCTGACAAACTCCCTGGTGATGAAGATTGGGCTGGTCATCGTGTTGCGTGGCAGCATTCTCATCCTCCCCTGTCCCATCCTGGCGAGGCAGTGGCAATATTGCAGAACCAACATCATCCCCTACACTCAGTGTGAGAACTTTGATGTGGTCAGGTTGGCCTGTGGCGATACCCGCATCAGTAGTTACTACGGCCTCTTTGTGCTGTCCTGTAGGATTGGTCTGGATGTGTCTTTTATCATCCTGTCCTATATCCAGATACTTAGGGCCATCTTCAGCCTTCCCACAAAGGATGCCCGGCTCAAGACTTTTGGGACTTGTGGCTCCCACATCGGTGTCATATTAGCCTTTTACATCCCAACTGTATTTGACTCCCTAGTATCCCGTTTTGGCCAAAATTTGCCCCGTTATTTCCATGTTTTCATTGCTGATATATACGTCCTGGTTCCTCCCATGCTGAACCCCATCATCTACGGGGTGAGGACCAAACAGATCCAGGACAGGCTTCTCCGGCTCTTTACTCATAAAAGGACTTAAGTTTTGTCCTCATGTGTTGGCTCTCGATCAGAGCTCGATGGGGGTGCTGGTTGGTGACATGGTACTTTTCTTTGAAACACTGTCTGGCCAAAGAAAGATTAAACTATTTGCTGACTTTACTGGGAAATCCATCTGAGCACAATTCATGGCGTTGCCAGTTTTTGAATTGTAACTGGACACCCGAGGCCCTTCCTGTGCCCCATTTTCTTCCTCAGAGCCCTGCTCCACGTCCTCCCTCGAGCCCCCAGTCACTTCATTGCCTTGTGCCTCAATGGCCGCACTTGTTGCTTGATCTTGTTCTGCCCCGCATCACCGCTTGGATCATCTCTGTGATGGGTCCCCCCGGGATGCTACCTGGAACTGTGGAATATCTGGGCCCCATGTCTCACCAAACTGGGCTGCCCCTTGCACAGGGATGTGGGAAGCTGCAAAGCCTTGCAGGCTTGCATCACACCAGTATTCATAGCTGGGCAGCTCACCCAGCTCTCTTCCTGTGTGCTCTGGGCAGCTGGTCTTCAAACCACAGGAGAGTTACTGCACTGCCCTGCCCTGGTGAAACCCGACCAGTCAGAATGTGGTACCCCGTGTAACCCTTCCACAACCAAAGTCGCTACACACCAGCTCTTGCTCATGAGCTGAGCCTTTCCCTCTGCCCCGCAGACAACACGCGGTGTGCTGGGAAACATCTGACACAGATGCAATAGTGACACCGGAGAGCTGTGCAGGGAAGGTGGGTGACAGCAAATCGGTGACACTGGAATATGATAAGAAATAAAACAAACCCACAACGTCTGGCTAACACTCATGGACATTTGCATGGAGCAGCGTCTCGCCCCGTTAGGTAGCACAGCCAGGTTTGATTTTTCAGGCAGGCTTCCTTTTTGCCTCCACTATTTAGGCCTTTACCTCCCGTATACTACGGTGCATTTTCCTAGGGACAGCGAGGACCCATTGTCCTGTCATTGCCCCTTTTGTCTCTTTTCCCCACTACCTGGGAGCCCGTTTGCTGTGATCGGGGCTGAGCCGTTCCCATGGTGCAGGGCTGCCTGGGGAGGTTTCTGGTGCTCACAGATCCCGGGCAGCCCTTGGTCTTGTGTGAATTCCCGCAATACACCGTCACCTCTCCTTGGCCTTCCCATTGCTGCACCTGACAGGGGCAGGCGGGGAGCTCTCAGCCTTCCCCCAAGTTTCAGCAGCACAGACAGAGCCAGACTCCAGATCTGCCCAGGCAGCGGCTCAGGCTGTTCACGTTCTGCAGACGGAGCCTTTCAGAAGGGCCCTCCCACGACCCCCGTGCACAGACCACACTGGGGCTCAGTGCCGTGGTGCGTCTGGGGGTGCCCGGGTGGGACACCTCACCTACCCCCCTAACCCAGTTGGGCTCCTTCTGTTCTGTGCCTGGGACGGGAGCTGCTGTAGCCTGACCAGGAGCCTGCCGGGAGGGCCGTGAGGACGCAGCGCTGGGGCCCACAGGCCAGTCAGGAGCAGAGACGGGACTCAGGAACCCAGATTAAAGCAGCTGGGAGCTGGGAACGGGGTGTGAGGCAGGTGGGTGCAGCCAAGCCTCCTACAGCTCGTGGGTCCCACCACTCATCAGCAAAGCCCTGAGGGTAGAGTCCATTGAGGGGTCTTTAGCTTTCAGTTCTTTTTGGTCCCTCCCTGCCGGGGGCCTGTAGCAGGCAGGGTTTGGGCTGGGAGCTGTTTGCTCTGAGTCAGGCCTCAGGGGCAGGACAAGGGACCAGCTTGTTAGCCAGGAGGACAAGAGCTGAGAGGCAGAAGGATAAGCCACTGTGTTAGTTGGAGAGGTGGACACTGGGCAGAGACATAAGAACAGAAGAGCAGCCGTGCTGGGTCAGATCAAAGGTCCATCCAGCCCAGTATCCTGTCTGCTGACAGTGGCCAATGCCAGGTGCCCCCGAGGGAGTGAATCGAACAGGGAATGACCAAGTGATCTCTCTCCTGCCATCCATCCCCACCCTCTGACAAACAGACTAGGGACACGATTCCTTACCCATCCTGGCTAATAGCCATTAATGGACTTAACCTCCATGAATTTATCTAGTTCTCTTTTAAACCCTGTTTAAAAGGGTACAAGAACAATTGCAGCTGCACTGGTCATAAGACATTGATAGCCTCACTGCCTGTAACACACCCCGGAGGAGCAAGGCCAGCTCGAGGCCAGAGCAATGGCACAAGGTGGTCAACACTCCATGTTGTGGTCTCCCTTTTCCCTGCTTCCATCCTGCTACGGGGAGGAGGGGGGGTTGCTCTCCATGCCTCAGAGTGGGAGGCCCCCACAAAGAGACGGGGCAGGAAGGAAGCTCTGAGAGGGACCCGCTGGTGGCCTGAGCCATCCCCAGGCTGTCTGGGGAGCGCTTTAAGCCACAAGACTGATTGGGGGATGAGGTGAGCTGCGGGCAAATGCTGGACCCTTCTAATCCCTACGGGTATGTCTACACTTGCAGCCTATTTCGGAATAGGGATGCAAATGTAGGCATTTGGAATTGCAAATCAAGCTCAGGATTTAAATATCCCATGCTTGATTTGCGTCTTCCCGGCTGGGTGCCATTTCTGAAATTTACAAGCCCGGAATAACTGCCTGCATCTATACGTGGCAGTGAAACGGGCAGTCGACATAAAGCCCTATTTTGAACTACCTGTTACACCTCATTGCAGGAGGAATAACAGGTCGTTCAAAATAGGGCTTTATTTTGAACGCCTATTTCACTGCCACGTGTAGTCGTGGGCAGTTATTCCGGGCTTGTCAATTTCAAAAAATGGTGCCCGGCTGGGAAGATGCAAATCAAGCGTGGGATATTTAAATTCTTATGTTCTTACTGTACATTAGTATGGTTTGTTTCTGCACCTTCAATAAGGCTTCCTTAAAACACAGCCAGCTCTCCTGGACTCCTTTCCCCTCACTTTAGCATTCCAGGGGACCCTGCCCATCAGCTCTCTGAAGGAGAGTCTGCTGTTCTGAAGTCTAGGGTGTGTATTTTTCTGCTCCCCTTTCTTCCTTTCACAAGGATCCTGAAATTGACCATCTCTTGATCACTGCTGCCCAAGTTGTCACCCTCCTCCCCTTCCCCTACTAGTTCCTTCCTGTTTGTGAGCAGCAGGTCGAGCTGTGTACAGCCCCTGGTCACTTCCTTCAGTGCTTGTACCAGGAAGTTGGAACAGTCTCCAAAACCTTCCTGATGAAATTCCCCCCAAACTTGTGCTCTGTTCTTAAAGGCCCAGAACATACTTCTGACAGCCAGGGCAGGGCTGTGCATTGGATCTGTCTCACACCCACCCAGCTGTTACTCTTGTCACTCCCCCTAAACCTTTTCTGCTTTGTCTCCCACAGTAGCTGTGACTTCTCTTTGTTTGTTTTTACGCTCCTTGGGGCAGGGCTAGTTTGTTCCTCTGTGTTTGCCAAGGGCCTAGCACAAGGGGCCCTGAATTGGAGCAGGATCTCTGGAGACTTCCTCAACACAAATAATGATCATAAATAAACAACACAACAATCCAGCTAAATCAGGGCATAGCACCATCCCTCAGCCCTTAGCTACAGACAAAGATCAAGCCATGCCTGGCAGCTGCAGAGTGTTAGGTTATGTCTACATAGCAACAACATTTCGAAATAACATAGTCCGTGTTGACACACCTGGCAATTATTTCGAACTAATGTTGGGTGAGGAATAAGGGAAGTCGCAGGAAGAGCGCTCTATTGCAAAATAAGCGCTGTGTACATGCTCCCAATTTCGAAAGAAGCGATTCTGAAATAAGCTATGCAACTGACATAGCTCAATTTGTGTAGCTTATTTCGAGTTAAGCCCTGCTGTGTAGATACACCCTTAGGAACTAGCACGCTGACGGACATGGCTCCCGCTTTCATCTCGGCCAAGAAAATTCGTTCAGTCACATACCAGTGCATAAAAACCCAGGTACTTCTGAACCAGAGAAATACCCCAGTTAGCCAGTGGAGGAGGCAGAGAGTCCAGCCCTGGGGATCCAAGTGCCCTCCTGCCGGGCTGGAAAGTCTGAGACAGCCTGGCACATCAGATTTCAATTCCCTCTGGGAGACACTGGAAGGAAATGAGCCAAAGCAGTGATCATATCCCTTGCAAATACCAGTCCACTCCATAGTCTTCCTATAGAGCCCTCCTTGTTCCAGGGCAATTTTCGAGGAGGGTGAGACCTCTGTTCCCAGGACAGATTTTTACATCTATCAGGGATAGCCTAGGCCAGGGGTTCCCAGCCTGGGGTACGCGTATCCCCAGGGGTATGAGAAGCTTGTCAAGGGGGTACTGGGAATATTTGGTAAATAACTAGATTATCCTAATTGAAATATTCCCAAAGTAGTCATGTTAGTGAAAAAAGTTGTGGATTCTAGAGTCTAGAATTTATTTCCTTTCATAATGAATAGGGGGTACGGGAAGGTTCACTAAAAGCCAAGGGAGTTCGGGGACCGAAAATGGTTGGGAACCCCTGGTCTAGGCAGTACTGAGTCTAGCCGTAAGGGCAGGGGACTGGACTCGATGACCTCCCGAGGGCCCTTCCAGTCCTAGTGTTCTATGATTCTATGGCAGCCCCACCCCCGTGGCTACCTCATCCACAGGAACACCCTGTTTGTGTGGCTTTCACTGAGACACTTCCCCCCCAGCTTTCAATGAGCTTCTCTGCGCTATGGTCTCTGAGAGGGAGCACAAGTGGAGTCCCTGAGTTCCCACGTCCCAGGAGCGGGGAGCTCGCACGCTCCAGCTAGTTGGGAGACCCTCAGATTCCCCTTGAGAGGACGGCGAAGGCTCAGCCTCCCTCTTCCAGCCTTTCCTCTGCCACCCACCCAACAAACAGTCCCTACCGTGGAGGGATTGTGGGTACTGCAAGGAAGTCAAGACTCCTGGGTGTCTCTCTCTCATGCTGCCCCTCAATCTGTCTGACCTCGGGCAATTCATGTCTCCCTGCTTCACTGCATTATGGGTTTCTGCTCACAGTGACTTTCCTTTGCAAGGTCTTGTCAATGCCCCTCAGAGAAAGGTGCTGCACAACGTGACGATAGTTACTGGTGAGAATTAGTGATCGCTGCCCCTTAGTGACAGCCCCGTGTGCCTGCAGGAAGTGTTAGTGTCTGTCCTTAGTCACCTTTCTCCAGATCGATCTCTTTAAAACCTGGTTATTTAGTGTATCAGACCTTGAGGAGACAGACACTATTCCTCCTTCTCTGCCTAATCAACTACACACAAATGCCCAGAGCAGCCAATTGCTCCCTGACTCAGCCCAGAGCCCAGGAGTTCTCCTCTCCTGTTGGGAAGGTCCCTTAATTGCTGTTTATGCATGAAGCAGGATAAATAGCCCAGAAGCCCAGACAGGCTGGTCTCTCCAGCCGTTTTGCACCCAGATGCTCTCGTATCCCCTAGGAGCTGAGTGAACCCATTGGGATTGCCCGGTGCTATATTATTAACGGTGCCCAGCCCTGTGCCAGCTCTCGGCGTGGGACGCTGCTGCAGATGCTGGGCTGAGAGGAGACGTGGGAGGCTCCGAGGGAAACCATCTCAGAACTCACAGGTACCCAGCTCGGGCTGAGGAACTCCCCTGCTCAACAAACCCGACAGGGTGTCACAGAATAGAGAGTAAGTCTGGGATCCTGTCTGCTCTGCACAGCCAGTGTATAGCCCAGGGCAATTGCTGCAGAGGCAAAATGTGACACTTTTCTCTGCATCTCTTCCCATTGCCTAGAACCACAAGCCATTTCAGTGTCACGGGGCATCGTACAGGTGGTGGAAGAGACCTCAGGAGTCATCACATCCAGCCCCCTGCCCAAAGCAGGACCGACCCAACTAAATCAACCCAGCCAGGGCTTGGTCAAGCCAGGACTTAAACACCTCTAGGGAACCCATCCCAGCGCTTCCCCACCTGCCTAGGGAAATAGTTTTTCTTAATACCTGACCGAGACCTCCCCCATGGCAACTTGAGGTCATTGCTGCTCGTTCTGCCATCCGTCACCACTGAGAACAGCCTCTCTCCAGCCTCTTTGGAACCTCCCTTCAGGAAGTAGAAGGCTGCTCTCAAATCCCCCTTCACTCTTCTCTGACTCAAACTAAATATGCCCCAAATCCCTCAGCATCTCTTCCTAAATCATGTGATCCAGCCCC